TGATGGTGTCCAGTGCACTCTGCCTTCACCTCAGGGTTTCTGTCCCTGCTTACCACCTGGGATGTGTATACATTAGTTCCCAGCCTTGTCCTTTCTTTTACTGATTTTTTTACTCTGGGTTTGAGATTGCTATCTCTGCATTTCTGTTCTTTGTTCTGAGGCAACCTGTCTGACATTGGTGTGGGGGCTTATTTTCCCTCTTCCAAGTAAAATGACCTAGTCCTCCATTTCTCTAACATGACATCAGATTACTTCAGCTGTTTCCAAACAATGCTGAAAGATCTGCCACCTTGCCCCCGACATTAGCAGTCCCATTGGGAGTGCATCTTGTGTGTCTCTGCAAGGCTACTTTATTATATATAATTCATATCAATTTATAAATAGATTGATTCTGAATCTTGCCCATCCTAAATCCTGCATTCCCAACTCAGTACCTCTGCTGAATGGCAGAGGACCCTAGAGATTGATTGGTTCTGTTCCTGCTCACCCCAGCTGTCTTACCTTCAACTGCCCCCTTTGGAGCCCATTTTATGTACTCATTCTCTAGGGACCTTAATCTGAGTCTCCTCCATTCTTTACCCAGAAAGGAATCCAGTACAGCAGCCCCAACGGGGGCTGGGAATGTGGCTTCAGGCTCAGGGAACAACTCAGGGGGACCCAGCCTCTTGGTGCCACTGCCTGTGAATCCCCCCAGTTCTCCAACGCCCAGCTTTAGTGAGGCCAAGGCAGCTGGCACCCTGCTCAATGGTCCTCCACAGTTCAGCAGTACCCCGGAAATCAAGGTGAGCTCCTCAGATGTGAGCCCTGAGCCTATCCTGGAGCAGGAAATCCAGTGTGTCTACTTTTCTAGTGGGGATAAAAACATCTTAGAAGTTCTCCTGAGTGGGTGATAGGGCTTTAGCATGGTTTTGAGGGGAGAAGAAATAAGTGACACACTGTGGAGAGGCTTCTGTGAGGCTGTGGGTGGGATGAAGGAAGAATAGGATGATGGACTAGGCCTTATTGGCTGTGACTAGTACAGAATGAGTCCCCTCCAAGAGAGCTGGGGTGCAGGTCTGTGGGTGGGCTTTGGTGATTGAAGGGTTGCACAGAGTGGGTAGAAGAGCCAGCACTAAGCTGTTTCATCAGGGAAAGCAAGCAGTGTGGGGGCTGCAGACCCAACCCACTGATGTTCCCAAGGAGATTGAATGCCCAGGGGATGGCCAGCACCCTTAAGGCAACAGCAGAGCCTGCAGTCCTGCCAGCCACCTCCCTCAAGATGCCATTATTACTGTGGGCAGTCCAGTGGGTGTTCCTTCAGCATGTAATGTCTTTATAGCAGTGTGTGCTATGGCCTGTTCACTGTGTTTTGTAGGGTAAGGTTTCCTCTGGGATGTATCGTGGACCCTGAACAGAATTACACAGTAGAGAATCAGTGGTCCATTTTCTGATGGTGACCTCAAATGTGCAGCTTACGTACAGCCATGGTGTTATAGCATAATATAGGTAGATCTTGCAAATAGGAAACTGGCAACAGAAGAGTAGGCAGAGTGTACAGGTCCCATCAGGCTTTTTATTTTTGTGTAACCCAGTCTCTGCTCCAGGTCTTGAGGCTCATCCCCTTTTTCTTCCTAGGCCCCTGAACCTCTGAGCTCTCTGAAATCCATGGCAGAAAGGGCAGCTATCAGCTCTGGTATTGAGGACCCAGTGCCAACCTTACACCTAACAGAGCGAGGTGAAAATCATGGGATGGTGGGGAGGGCAAAAGCCAAGAAGAAACTGAATCCATCCTCATCAATGAGGGGCCTGGTGCCCCATCCCTCCCTACAGACATCATCCTGAGCAGCACATCAGCACCCCCCACCTCAGCCCAGCCACCCCTGCAGCTCTCAGAGGTGAACATACCATTGTCACTGGGTGTGTGTCCACTGGGGCCAGTGTCCCTCACCAAGGAGCAGCTCTACCAGCAGGCCATGGAAGAGGCCGCCTGGCACCATATGCCCCACCCCTCTGACTCAGAGCGCATTCGGTGAGGGGCTGCAGAAAGGGGCTGGGGACCCTGTCTCCCAGTCTGAGGGAGGAGCTGGTTCCTGGGCCTTGAGAGACTAGGTAGAGTACTCATCTCAAAGTGCTGAGGACTTGGCTTGGGGCTCCTTAGAGCAGGCTGAAGTGTGCTTCAGAACACCCTCCTGCAGGCAGGACAGGAACTGGAAGTCACCTGGTACTAAGTCCTCTCTGGTTCACAGGCA